TATATATATATACTCAGTGCACGCAGTTGCGTGCATCCACACCCGTGTTCAGACGCACGCAAGCAAACATCCCACATATAAACGCATACACACGCGCGCGCGCTTATGCGACGAGACGGACAATGATTGACACTTTATTACTAATATATATTATACACCTTAATTGTTGTTGTTTTATTCTTTTATTTTCATGTTTGCACTAGCGACCAAAACACGAAAGGGACATTAATTATTAATCGTGCAAAAACGAAGACTCTTCGTAGTCTGCAAGACACACACGCGCACCCACACGCGCGCACACATACACCTACACACACACACACACGCACGCACGCACGCACGCAGCACGCACGCACGCACATATACATGTAAATATATACATTTATGATAGTGATATAGTCTATCTAGTGTAGATGTATATAACGCCCAACAAGGTAGAACTAAAAAAATGGAAGTTGAGAAATCGAATCCTACTTCTCCACGTAGTATAGAAATGCCTACAGGAATTGGATTGCTTCGTCTACAAACAGTTACTTAACTCACCATACAGGGCATGTTCCGCCTCACTTGCCTAGAGGAATGCCAAATTTGGTATAAAAAAGGGGGCACCAGCAGCCGGTACGCAGCAATTAAGGCTCCCTCCAGAGCTACTCTCGGCGTGCACGATTTATTAATAAAATAACTGACACTCCCGTGACCAGTTCTGCTGCAAACCACGCTTAATTTACTAGAGTTGTTTAAAAGATGGCTGTTTGTCGCGATTCAGGCTGCACCGCGCACGCCATCGTTCTATCACCAGCGAGAGGCTCACGGTTTTCGTAACGCCAACATCTAACGATGGCCGCCGTTATAGCTAAAACGAAATCGGCAGGAAAACCTATAGGCTGTACTAGGAGATGCATTACAGACTGGTCGTATCTTAGCTATACGCTTTTTATTACTAGGTCGTGTTTGGGTAAACTATACCCGATTACATTCCCCATGTATCTCTCGTCGCCGGTTACTGGATGCCCTACAGAGACGCCTGGCGACCGGAAAGTGAACGAAACGACTCATCACACATCGATTCCATGTTTAATGGCCTCTGATATCATATGAGATAGTTTAATTATAATATTGTGTGTGCGCGCGTGCGTGCGTGCGCGCGCGCGTGCATGCGTGCGTGCGTGAGTGAGTGAGTGGGTGATCACGTGCGTGCGCAAATATGACATACAAAATAACAACTTCATTATATATAAAAATAATCAGTTCCGTTCTAAAAAACATGTGTCTGCTACTTAATTAGGGTAAATACTACAACATACAATAGACTGGCAGTAACGTTAGTATATATTATATATATATACGTTCGCGTATTTATTATAATTATTACGTCGTACAAGTAAAGCTCACGCGAGTTATCGTGACTACTCGCAAATAATTGAATAGGAAAGGTGTGCTATGCACTACCGCAAATTAGCAACAAATAACCAGCCAGGATCCATCATCAGGAAATACCAGAACTTGGTGTTTCACACAATATCACGATAATAAATTCTATCACAAGCCAGCACCTAAAGAACTATATATTAATTTAAATATATATTCAATAAATGTCTCGATGAATACACGATGACAACGGTACGCTAAGTCACTACCGTTACATGATTACGACGTTGCTTGGCATACCATCAAAGAAAGCATCTTCCGATTCCTCCTCCGAGCTATCAGATGACTCGGCTTCGGCAGCTACAGTGTCGGCACTGTCTCCTTCCCTGAGCTTCTTCTCGCGTCTTCTCGTTAGAATCGGCAGCGGTACAGCGATGGCAGCCGACAGCAGCATCAGTACACCGATGATCGTAAATACAGGCCGTGTCCCTTGCTTGCTATCATATGCGGCACCTATACAAAATAGATCGCGGTTAATGCTAACTGATATATTTGCAGTTATTAACGGTCACTATAGCTTGTGCTTTAGTATATATATTCTATAAATTGCGAACGACATTGTACATCTTCAACTATTAGAACACGCTACAATTACCTAGTATCATGGGTGCAACGAATAATATGGGCGCCTCCAAGAATTGTCTCAAGGCACAGGCGTCCGTGTATCTGGCCGATCCAACGACGTCTCTCATGACGACCCAGCTTGCGCATATCATCGAACCCGTGCAAGCTCCAATGATTCCAGACGCAATCAGCGCCTAACAAATGTGTCACTACGCACGACTGAAATTGTAGCGTTCATAACCGTAGCAACAGACCCCAGATGAGCCCAGACGCTCTGCGGCTCTTGTTGCTTTAACCCTTTGCGGGACAATTCCGCGCGCGCGCCGCGCG